TTGTTAGGGTGGTGGGGGGCTTAAAATGGCAAAAAGAGGCTTATTTATACAAAACGTTATTTGTTTGACTTCCTATATACTACTTATGCTTGACCCCAAATAGCCTCTGGATTTTAAGCCCTTTCTTGTATAGCCTATAAAGCATAGTTTTAGTCAGAAGCAGTGCGTCTATTTTTCACTCACTCCTGGAATTGGGTTTGGCGTTATACCATTATTGCCTATGGACATCGGTGAGTTTGCAGTCGGTCATTCTTACGTTTTTTTGCAAAAATACATTATTCCAGGGACGTTGCGGATAATGACCCAGTGCAATTAACTCAAAGGTGTGGTAAAGGCCATGGAAAGAGAAAGGAAAAATTGTCGGAATTAACTCTGCTATCCTCTACCGGATGTTTTCAGAACATCAACTTATCAGGATTTCCGATGTTTTTCGTTGCAGTTCGAACTCCTACCCACAAAGGACATTATTCCAATTGCAACAGCATACATACAGCAAAGAGTCTCGGATTATAAAATGGAGGAATTGGAAAACCGCTTTGATGACCTTCGCAACGCTCGGACTTACGCTAAAAGATACCTGGAGAGTGTCGAAGAAACTGGTGATGATATTCAGAGATTCATCTCTAAGGTGAACGAACACTTGCGTGATTTCTATTCGGCAATTTCTGCTTTGAACAAGAGTGAGGGACAGGAGCTGGTAGATGCTTGTCTGGACGCTTACAAGCAAGCCTTGGACGGATATGATGTCGAGGGAAAATTTGTCCGGAGGTGGAACAAAATATTGAGCACAAAGGTTAGCAAAAGTTGTATATACTGTTTAGATATACCGCATTAGTTTGATTTAAGATCACAAACATTGCCTTGTGGTACAACAAACTCCTGCGTTTAAAGAAAAGAGACGTGCACCCTGAACAAAGATGGCCAGCAAACTTTAGCTTCAAACAGAGCTGACTGAGAATGTACAGATCGAAGTTTAAACAACTGAACAGGCCAATCACTGTTTGGTACCTAACATTACCAGCTTTTCATTTTACTCTGAGGATTACGTGGCTCTCAGGCAGAAAATCTTCAAGTCTCTAGAAATCGAGAGGGACGACATTAAAAAAAAAAGAAAAAAAAAACAGAAGGTCTTTTTTGGTACACTATGGCCTGGGTATATGGAATGGGCTATACCCAGCTTACTAGCATTTTACAAAAAAGCACAGCAGCAGGATCCTAAAAATGCGGAATAGCAGTTCTCGATAGCCGTACTAGTTAATTCATATTTGCTTGGTTACCAAGTACAAAGAACAATATTTGACTGTGTAACTTCACAAAGCTGTTGAAATGGCTCCATGCTTAACTCCTTATGTAAGGACAAATACGGGACACGTTATGGGCGTGCAATCAGACGTTCCAAGAGACTGTAGAACATTTAAACTATATGCGAGTGGGTGTGGGTCTGAGTTTCTTTGTTGCGTGTGTGATTTCTGTTGCTTGAAAAGTTGGGAAAAAAAGTCTGAATGTAATACTACCGGATTAAATTACTATGTCGAATTTTGCCGAGTGTTTTACTGGGCCCGTACATATGTAGCAGAGCAAGGTTATCTATTTTCTGGAGTTTAATACGCCGGCCGAAACACGTATACGAACATGGCAGAAAAATGTCGAGAAGAATTTCTGATTCCTAAGAATTTGACTGAGGCGAAGGATTTAGTAAACAAGTTGAGCATCGAGGACTGAAGGACGTTTTGCTTTACGTTTGCAATAGCACAAGACGGATCGAAAGCAAGCCTGAAAGAACGACTTCTTGAGTACCACAGAGGACAATTTACATCGGTAAACGGAACACCTGTGCCGACGCCTCGGAAAAAGTCCGAAGTCAAAAGCTCGCTTTCAAACGTGAAAGAATCGTGGAACTCGGAAACAATTGACGGTATGGATCAAAAGTCGGACCAGCCAATTTTATCCATCACGGATTAGCTGCGTAAGTCTGATCAAAGAATTGATCAAATCGAGTTCGCCGTTAACAAAATGGGAGCATATGTCGAGGAATCTTTAACGAATTTTCGGGAGTCGTGGACAGAAACTATTAAAGATTCTACGGAGAAAACGATGCGGTCTTTCGACAAGCCTTCCGACGATACAGGAACGGAACAGGTTCCTCTCGTCTATGGTTCGAAATTTATTGTTGCCAAAAGACGATTAAATTTTCTGGAGAAAAATGCGAAAGGCGTACGCAACGAACTGGAGAAATTAATGAATGCAGAAACTGCACCCTCGAGAATTGAACGGCAATTTAAGAAATTGAATGACTACAAGTCTGACTGCGTTCACTCATTAGGGGAAGTTTTGGCTAATGTTGAAGAAGTTCTGAAAGTGTAGAATGAATTTCATTCACAAACATTACGGATTTCCAGAATGGCCGAAGATTTTATCGCAAAAAATGGCGCCAAAGCATCGTCGAGTGAGATAACTGAATATATTACTGGTGTGAAATTGCCACGTACTGTTGCAGCTGCCAAAATGTTCAGGAAATGTGTTGGAATGGCCAGCGTCTCAAGACGCGTTCGTTGCTTCGGTTGATTCGCACAAGAAATTGAGCAATGTTTAGAAGTTTACCCACCTGAGGTCATGCCTTTCTGGTTATGCATTAAAGTATATCGAAGGCTATTCCGTTACGAATGACAACTGCTCCAAAGCCTTTCAAGATTTGCAAAATCGTTTTGGACGGAAACGTTTATTCGCAAACGAGCTTGTCAAGTCCATTTTAAATCTCGATATTCCTGAAATGGCTGAAGGAAAATTGTTGAGAGAACTGTACGACACATTGCGAAACAGGATGAGAAGTTTGGAGTCACTTGGTCTTAAGCCTGATGATAACCTTAGTCTGTCTATGGTGTTGCTCCTATCTCCGAAACAAAGTTGTCTCGTGAGCTTAAGGAGAAATGGGAGTTGGAGCTCACCAAGTATGAAACTGAAGAGGAAGACAAGGAGATCGACATCAAGAAATTCTTTCAATTTTTGGAGGGTCATGTGCTAAGTAAAGAAGCCCCCGACGACGTGAAGGATAGACTAACTAAGCACAGTAGGAGGAACGGCAGAGGTAAAAGATTCAAGAATCCAGATAACGAAAAGAAAATGTCAGCCCAATCGCTAATTGGTGCCTCTGATCATGATTACAAAAAAATGAAGTGTGGTTTTTGCGCGCAGAGTCACGAGACGTCAAGGTGCCCAACGGCTCTGATTAAGGCACCTGACGGGAGATGGGATATGCTGATGAAGCGTAAGGGTGTTCCAACATGCTTTAATTGGTTACAACCAGGAAGCATTTCGCACATTTCGAGGACATGTAAAGTGCCACGATGTTGAGCTGATGGATCTGGAAGAAGACATCATCAGTTGCTACACATCTCTGAGAAGTCAAAACCAAATGGAGAGGACATTCAGTCATTCTCTGGGCTTGTGTCTACAAACAAGCAAAATCTGTTGCCAACTGCCAGTGCAAGATTGATATATGGAGATAAGGAATGTCCAGTCCGAGTTCTTCTGGACAGGGGATAACAAGAGACTTTCCTGAGAACAACTATTGCCAATAATCTTAAGATAAAACCTAGTGGATCTCCCGCCACTATGAACATTAAGGTACTTGGTGGTCAGGAAAAGCGAAAGAAGATGAACCGAGTAAAGTTCACGTTGGCTCCCTTCAACTCAAGTGAGGATGATCATGCGATTTTGATTAATGCCTGGACCATAAACAGTGTTTGTGCTCCCCTCGCAGCTGTGGAAGTTGACGTCAAAGATATGATCATCTGAGGAACCTGCAACTTGCAGACACATTTCCAAGAGAGGCTGCATCTTTTGATCTATTGGTTGTCGCCGATCAATACTATAAGTTGGCTCAAGGAGATGTACCAAAAGGGCGTCCAGGAACACCGATTGAGACTAAATCAAGACTTGGTTGGCTTTTGAGTGGTCCTGTCTCAGGGACTAAGAAGACTGAGGAGGTGGCAGCCATGCTCACTGTTACGAAGATCGACAGTTCGGATGATCAATTAAAACGTTTCTAGGAGCTAGACGCTATTGGGATCGTAATCATCAGGGGCATCAAAGAACACCCTTGAAGGAGGATGCAGGTAATCAGTTTAGCAGTTCCTGTCGTTTTGATGGTGAGCGATATGAAGTTGGTCTTCCTTGGAAGAAAGATCATCCACCTGTTGCTGACAACTATGAGCAAGCATATCAAAGACTTGTATCCACTGAAAGAAGATTGGTAAAGGATTCAGAGAAGGCGAGAATGTACTGTGAAGCAGTGAGCCAATACATTGACGATGGCCATGCTCGGCTGATAGATGAAGAAGATCACAAAGCAGACAAGATAAGATACCTCCCTCATCATGGTTTATACCGAGAAGATAGAGCTACCACGAAGTGTAGAGTCGTTTTTGATAGTAGCGCTAAAACATATGATGGGCAATCTCTCTACTCCTATCTTCATAAAGGTCCAAAACTTCAGCCAGATCTCGGACATGTTCTAATCAGATTCAGGTGCCATCGAATCGGTATGATGGCAGACATCAAGAAAATATTTCTTCAGATCAAGCTCAAACGTCAAGATCAGAACAGTCACAGATCCCTTTGGAGAGATCTGCATGCTCATCGAGCACCAGACGTTTATTGCATGATCCAAGTGACATTCGGAGATACCCCTTCTCCTTTCCTCTCCATTGCTACAAAAGCAAGCGAACGAACACGAACAAGACCATTGTACGGCAGCTAATGAAGTGAGTAAGTACATGTACAATGACGATGTACTTACTGGTGCCCCGGAAGATGAGAGTGCAGTGAAGCTAAGGAATGAACTATCCAATCTCCTTTCAAAAGGGAGATTTCAATTGACAAAATGGGCTTCAAACTCTCTTCGTGATAGAGCGCCAACTCTTGTGCCGACCACTGAGCCCGAAAAAATGTCAGACTCATTAAAAGCACTGGGTGCCTCATGGAACACAAATGATGACGTTCTGATGTTTACAAACGCTTTCAGTATCTTGACAGAGAAGGACCCTAAGACGAAGAGAAGCTTGATTAGTTTGTACTCGAAAGTCTTCGATCCCATGGGTTTGCTGACTCCGTTTCTAATGATTCCAAAGTTGCTCTTTCAAGACTTTTGGACTCCAGGTCTAGACTGGGATCAGCCACTAGACTCAGACATCGCGAACTCTTGGGGGACCATGAAACAGGAACTAACAAACGTTGACCAAATCAAAGTTCCAAGGTGTTTGCTATGAAATCTATCTTCAGTTGACAAAGTTGAGCTACATGGGTTTGGTGACGCCAGCGGAAGAGCTTATGGGACAGCGGTTCACATTTGTGCTGAGGATCAGGATGGCAACAGAATCTCCAACTTAGTTATGGCCAAGTCAAGGGTAGCACCGGTGAAACGAATCAATTTGCCAAGACTGGAGCTTCTTGCAGCATACATCACAGCTAAGCTACTTGACTATGTTATCCAAACTCTCCGAATTGTGGTCGACGCAGTATATGGCTAGTCAGATAGTCAGATTACACTTGCGTGGATCAGAAGACCAAGTTCTTATTGGAAAGTGTTCGTTGCAAACAGAGTTCAAGATATTCACCAACGAGTAGCACCAAGCCAGTGGAGATTTTGTCCAGGAAGTCAAAATCCTGCAGACCTGATCACAAGGGGAATTCCTGCATCTAAACTCAGAGACTGCAAGCTATGGTAGAAAGGTCCACATTGGTTACAACAGCCGCGCAGTTACTGGCTTGTAAGTGAAGTGCTGAAAGCAGTTGCAGAGGAGTGTCTTATTAAAGCAAGGAACGAATCTATTGGCGTGATTAACATTGCTTATCTATCAACGGTTCAAGAAAGCATTCCCGCACTGGCATATAGATATGAAACCTGGCAACGTATGGTACGAGTAACTGCATGGATCCTAAAGTGGTCACGTTCACGTGGGGAGCCAAAGAAAGGGAAGCTGTCTGCGGAGGAA